AGTTTACCAGGGTCATCTCGCTAAATGAATACAGTTGTCACCTCCTTATCTGAAGGTTCTGCACCCATGGATTCAATCTACTATGAAACAAAAGTATTTTTCAAAAAATTATCTGTGCTGAACATGGAAAGACTGTTTTCCTTGTCCTTATTCCTTAAACAATATACCACAGCAACTATTTACATAGCTTTGACATTGTATTAGGTATTATAATTAACCTAGAGATGATTTAAAGTACATGGGGAAGACATATGTAAGTTATATGCTGTTTTATAGAAGTGGTTTCAGCATCCTAAGGTTTTTGGCATGGGGAGGGGGTCCTAGAACTCATCAAATACTGAGATACCTAGGAATGACTGTAGTTGGAAAGTACCTCTGTGTGCCTTAAGTTTTCTGTACATGAACTAGGCCATCTGCCACTCTCTTGATGGCCCTTTCAATAGGACAATAGTCTGGTCTGCCCTGAGAGAACCACCCACAGTTCTCCTGCAGCTTATCTTCTCTCCACTGGCTGACTCTGGATCAGATCAGCATTTTTTTATTATTATTAGTTACACATGACAGTACAATGATCTTGATATATCATACATTTGAATCAAATGGGGTATAATTTCTCATTTTTCTGAGTGTACAAGTTGCAGAATCACATTGGTCATATAGTCACGTATATACATACAGCAATACTATATGAGCACCTATTTGTAAATCCCCATCACTGTGAGAAAGAAGTAAGCTTACTAAATATGCATCTAGGGGCCCAGAGAGGATGATAATGATGTCATTCAGATTCCTCAGAATTGATCCTTTTCTCTTGTGACATACTGAGAGCTGTTTTACACCCAAGAGGTGATGGCTGTCAATTCCACCTGCTGTGTCTCCTCATATTATTGATGTTTTGTCTTATGGGAACTGGGCAAGTCCAAACCTGTCTTTCCTGGATTCACCCTGGATGAATGAACTGCACATGGGTGTCAGAACTCAATGCTTTTGTGCCAAGAATGTCATTGTTTCCTGAGAGCTGCCTTAAACCCTCAACCTAATCTCAGCCAATGCCTCCGGTGCTCCCTGGTCATTAGTTTTTAGTGGTGAGTGAGGAAAGTAGAGAGGAGGCCAAAGGGAGCAGTAGAGAGGAAAGGAAGATGTGGAGATTGCTCAATGCCACAGTACTGAACTGGTAGAGCTTGGCTACCTTCCAGGAATCCAGCAAGATGGATCATCTTGTTAATCTGGTAGAATCCATAGCTAATAGGAACAGAACTGCTTATTGATAAGAAGCTAGAATTATTGTTTGCTTTTATTCTGGGCAGAAGTGACCTCCAAAGATTCTTTTCAGATCCTACCTGAGTAGATGTTTGTTCATTGACATGGAAATTATTTTTCCAAGTGAACTTTTTAAATGGATGTCTTTCAAATGTCAATTCATGTTAGAATTACTAGGGAGCACTGTAAAACATCTGGCTCCATTCTTAGGGACTCTGATTCAGTTGGTCTAGAGTGGAGGCCAGGAATCTGCATTTTTTTTTTTTTTTTTTTTTTGGTACCAGGGATTGAACCCAGGGTGCTCAACCACTGAGGCATCCCCAGTCCTGTTTTTGGTTTTGTTTTGAGACAGGGTCTCACTAAGTTGCTCAGGGCCTTGCTAAATTGCTGAGGCTGGCTTTGAACTAGTGATCTTCCTGCCTCAGCCTCCTGAGCAGCTGGGATTACAGGCATGTGCCCCCACTCCCAGCAGGAATCTACATTTTTAACAGACATTTTAAGTGATTTAGATGGTAAGCAGACCACACTCCACCAAACACTGTCTTGGCCCAGTTTTTGAAATAGCTTCTTTCTTTCATAGTCTGTTTGATCACTTTCTTTATTGAAGGATTTATTGGCATTTCCATGTTTATTACCTGAGTTATTCTCACAGCATCACAGAAACTAGAGCAGGAACCAGAAGTGGTTAGCTCTATTTTATTGAGAGTGAGGGGGCGTAAGGTACAATTGAGGCATAGGGAGAGGTCATGAGTCAGATGGCAGTGGGAACTGAAGTCCAGCATTGATGACTCTAAAACCAGACAATTTTCTGGCGCCTATTTTCTCAGCTTGTGATTTCATATTTAATCATAGTTATTCTTTAGGTCTCCAGTTCATTGGCTTGGGTAAGCAAATCATATCTGAATTTTAAACAATATAGCTTAGCATCTGTGTGTCAGTTTTTGTTAGCCTATTAGCTCTTCTAAGCTGAGCTAATATCAGCGATGATATATGTGGAACTGACTTAATCTGCTCTCTGAGCTTGCTTCCTTTGTCATTTCTGAAGACTTCTTACATAAAGAAAAAAGGATCAGATTCATCCTTTCCATAACAGTAGGAACTCTCTCTGATCTTTTAACTGGTAAAGTACTAAATGAAAAAACTCTTATCCCTCTGTCTCTCAAATTTGAGTAGTATATGGGTCATTAATATATATATATATTAGGTGTAGTTGGACACAATGCCTTTATTTTATTTACTTATTTTTTATGTGGTGCTGAGGCTCAAACCCAGGGCCTCGCATGTGCTAGACAGCACTCTATCGCTGAGCTACAACCCCAGTCCTATGGGTCATTTTTAAAGGAAAAAAAATTCTGAAAACTCTCAGTCAACTTAAATTATCCTGACTATAATGTAACTTAAATTTACAAATATAAACTAGGAATATAATGTTCTTTTATTTTTTATTTGTAATTCTCATACAATTACAAAACCAAAACAGACTTACAAATGAAATACAATCACAAAACTAATACTGGCATGGTGCGGTGGTGCATGTAATACCAGCGGCAGGGAGACTGAGGCAGGAGGATCACAAGTTTAAAGCCAGCCGCAGCAAACTTGAGGCACTAAGCAACTCAGTGAGACCCTGTCTCTAAATAAAATACAAATAGGGCTGGGGATGTGGCTCAGTGGTTGAGTGCCCCAGAATTCAATTCCTGATATTAAAAAAAACAAAAACAAACAAACAAACAAAAAACCAAAACCCCCCACAAAAACAAAAACTAATACTATTCAAGTTATTAACATGAAAAATGATGTCTTTTGCTAAAACTAAAGCATTTCTTATATTGTGACTATGATATTGCCTGTTAAAGTTCAGCTTATTTTGAGTTCACCAAATGACCTATGGTATCTTAATTTCCTCACCTCTTTTGGAACTATTGAGACCGCACAGCCCTGTGATATCATTTGGCTTTTATTTTGTGCTTAAAAGCATCTTTTTCATTTTAAATCTGTCTCTCTTCTTTTCTCATTATCTCAGAACAATCAAAACAGTACTGAAATACACAAGTAGATGTAGGTTCTGAACTTATGTCGCAATACTGACTTACAGTCATCCTAATAATCTGAACATGCTTATGTAAATCTAAAAAATTATAAAAACTAAAATTTAAACGCTAGAGAATACATCTACCCAGAACTAATTTGAGAAAAACTGTTCAGGTCTACTGATTCCCAAACTTTCACTACTACTAAAGGCTCTGTCACATGGACATGTGAGGAGCATAGTGAAGAGAAGAATGTGGTTTTTGTTGACTTCCCAGAGGCTCATGCTTTTAAAAAACTCTCCTAAATTTATTTATTAGCAATTTTAGTTTTATTACATGTATAATCATTTCAGAGCTTATCATTCTAAGTTGCTTAAATTCCACTCCAAAACAAACATAGACAGGACATTTTAGTTATTTTGTGCTGACCTAAAAGGGTAAGGGAAGACTTTCCATAGCTTTGTAAGAAAAAACTCCCAGATCCTGTCTCTTCCTACTGCTGCCTTTGAGGACTCTTGGAGGTCTGGGGAGGCCAATTTAGGACTTATTGTACAAGCAAAGATTCTACCCCACCCAATTTGGAAGGATTAAAGCTTGTCCTAGTTTTGCTTGATTGTTGTACTTCTTGCATGCTAAAGAGCTAAAAAATGGGAGGAAGAAAATACAACAGAAGGCACCATTCCAGTACCAAACTGAAAAGAAACACAAAAACAAGAGAGCAGCATGTTTTCAACAGCTTGCGTGGAAAAAATATTGACTGGGGAGTTTGGACTGCACTGTTCATTTTCTCTCACCGCCCGCGTTATTTGTCTTTCAGAGCAGGAGCCAGGCCAAAGGAAGAGGTGGAGTGGGTTCTGTAAAGGCTTGAGGCCAAGAGGGGGAAATTAGGGCTGGCGACCCAATGGCTGGGCGCCAGGATTAAGCCAGAGGAGACGCCAAAGCCTTTTTCCTCCTCGCCTCGGGCACCCTCTTTGGCTGACTGAGTCCTGAGCAGGCACAACACGCATCACTCAGGTGAGGTCCCTGGTTGCTTCAGACCACAATGGCCAGGATGAATCCCTGCCCCTGTTTCTTTCGGATGGGTAAAGGTCACAGGGGTTCCATTAGCTTTCTTAGCCCACCCTTTAGGAATTCAGACCTACACCTCCTGCAGTGTGGGTCGGGAGAGAGACTTCATCAGCGAACCAATTTAGTTCTCCCACCCGCTTGGAAGAT